TCTGTCTTTCATTTAAGTTAGAGAGTCTTACATGATTAAAAAAGTCATATTTACTTGCTAAATCAGTCCTAAGATCATAACTCTAGAACTGGAAGGATCATCAGAGTTCATCCAATTCAATCTTTTCATCTCTCTTTGGCCATACAATTTCTCTTCCCAGGGTTCTTAACCTTTTCTTTTTTGCCATGGACTCTTTGACACTCTGATGAAGCTTATTGACTCTTCTGATTATTGTTTTTAAAGGAATAAAATAGATTTAATGGGATTACAAAGGATACCAATTATACTGAAATTCAGTTATCAAAATACATTTTTTAAAGAAAGTTCAGGTATTCTTAATTAAGAACCTCTGCTTTAATTGGAAATTTAGGCTCATCAAATCAAGCTAGGAGGGTCTTAGAAGCATTGAACACCCCCACCCCCCATTTTATAGATGAAGAACTGGAGTCCAGAGCAAAGGAGTCCAGAGCAATGTGCCAAAGGTACCATCAGTGGTAAAGAGCAGAGACAGAGCTGAACTCAGATTTGAACTAAATCTCATACTCTTTTTATTAGACCATTTTGCCTACCTAACCCTAAGACTCCGTGCTGTAACAGAATGTGCCACAGACACCATGGCCATGAGGTTCAGCCACATTTTCCAGAATTACATATGAGGACTGGGTACTTTCCACTTATGCCAAGTGTCCTTCCACTGACAACAATGAATGAAGTTCACAAAGGTGCCAAAGTCATTTCAGAAAAATACTCTTTAGAATAGACCAGTGGCCAGAAGTTAGCTTGAAGAACTTGAAAAGGTGAAGGGACTTTGAAAGTTTGATTATTCCTCCTTGATAGGTACCAATACTTTTTTTTATGGTAATTTTTATTTATTTTTTTGTTTTCAACATTTACTTCCACAAGATTTTGAGTTCCAAATTTTCATCCTATCTAACCCTTCCCCCCACCCCAAGATGGCATGCATTCTGAATACCCCTTCTCCTAGTCTGCCTTCCCTTCTATCTCTCCCCCCCTTCTCTTATCCCCTTTTCCTTCAATTTTCCTGTAGTGCAGGATGGATTTCTGTACCTCATTTCCTGTATTTCTTATTTCCCAGTTGCCTATGAAAACATTTTTTTAAAACATGTGTTTTTAAAACTTTGGGTTCCAAATTTCTCCCTTCCTCCCCCCCCACCCACCCTCATTGAAAAGGCAAGCAACTCAATATAAGTTACATATGTGCAGTTATGCAAAACACTTCCATAGTAGACATGCTGTGAAAAACTAACTCTATTTCCCTTAATCCTATCCCATCCCCCCATTTATTCTGTTCTTTCTTTTGACTCTGACTTTCCTCAGAAGTACTTGCTTCTGATTACCCACTTTCCCAATCTGCCTTCCTCTCTATCATCCCCCTACTCCCTTGTCCCCTTCCCCACCCCCATTTTCCTGTAGGGTAAGACAGATTTCCATACCCAATTGAGTGTGTATATTATTCCCTCCTTAAGTCAAATTCTATGAGAATAAGATTCACCCATTTCATCTCACCTTCCCCCGTTTCCCCTCCACTGTAAGAGCCTTTTCTTTTCTGTTTTTTTTTTTTGTGAGATAATTTATCCCGGTCTACCTCTCCCTTTCTCCTTCTCCTAGTATAATCCTCTCTCACCCCTTAATTTTGTTCTCCAGATATGACACCTTCATTTTCAACTCACCCTGTGCCCTTTATCTATCTCTCTATCTCTCTATCTATCATCTATCTATCTATCTATCTATATTTATATATATGTACATATAATTTTTTCCCCTCCAACTACCGTAATATTGACAAAGGTCTCATGAGTTACAAATATCATCTTTCCATGCAACAATGTGAACAGTTCAACCATAATAAGTCTCTTACGATTTTCTCTTTCCTGTTTACCTCTTCATGTTCCACTTGAACCTTGTATTTTAAAATCAAATTTTCTATTCAGCTCTGGTCTTTTCATCAAGAATGCTTGAAAGTCCTCTATTTCACTAAATGACTATTTTTTCCCCTGCAGGATTATACTCAGTTTTGCTGGGTAGGTGATTCTTGGTTGTAATCCTATCTCCTTTGCCCTTTGGAATATTATATTCCGTGCCTTGAGGTCCCTTAATGTAGAAGCAGCTAAATCTTGTGTTATCCTGATTGTGTTTCCACAATACTTGAATTGTTTCTTTCTGACTGCTTGTAATATTTTCTCCTTGACCTGGGAACTCTGGAATTTGGCTACAATATTCCTAGGAGTTTTGCTTTGGGAATCTCTTTCAGGAGGTGATCAGTGGATTCTTTCAATTTCTATTTTGCCCTCTGGTTCTAAAATATCAGGGCAGTTTTCCTGGATAATTTCTTGAAAGATAATGTCTAGGCTCTTTTTTTGATCATGGCTTTCAGATAGTCCAATAATTTTAAAATTCTCTCTCCTGGATCTATTTTCCAGGTCAGTTGTTTTTCCAATGAGATATTTCACATTGTTTTCTAATTTTTCATTCTTTTGGATTTGTTTTACAGCATCTTGATTTCTCATAAAGTCACTAGCTTCCAATTCCTCTATTCTAATTTTTAAGGAACTATTTTCTTCAGTAATCTTTCGAACTTCCTTTTCCATTTGGCCAATTTTGCTTTTTAGGGCATTCTTCTCCTCATTGGCTTTTTGGACCTCTTTTGCCATTTGGGTTAGGCTATTTTTTAAGGTGTTATTTTCTTCAGTATTTTTTTGGGTCTCTTTTAGCAAGCTGTTGAGTTATTTTTCATGATTTTCTTGCATCACTCTCAGTTTTTCCTCTATTTCTCTTACTTGCTTCTCAAAGTCCCTTTTGAGCTCTTCCAAGGCCTGGGATTGATTCATATTTTTCTTGGAGGCTTTGGATGTAGGAGCTTTGACTTTGTTGTCTTCTTCTGGTTGTATGTTTTGATCTTCTTTGTCACCAAAGTAAGATAATATAGTCTGACTCCTTTTGTGCTGCTTACTCATGATCCCGGCCAATTACTTGAGTTTTAAACTCTTTGTTAAGGTAAAAGTCTGCTTCCAATGTGAAGAGTGTAGTGTCCCAACCTTTGGGGGTTTGTACAGCTATTTTCAGAGATACTTCTAGGGACCTGTAAATTTTCAGTTCTTCCAAGTTGCTATGATAAGGGGCGAGGTGTTTCCTCTCCACCGCCACAACAAGCTCCACCGCACCAGCATTCCTCCTTGCCCAAGGACTACCCCTCAGAACTGTGACCCAGATCCAAGCACTGGTAAAGCAAGAGATTCCTGCCTCAGCACTGGCAAAGAGATCCCTGCAATCCCCCTCTGATCAGCCACTGGATTCCCCCTCAGTCTGTGGGATGGAAGCTCAGGAAACAGCCCCGGCCCCGGGGCAACTGAGACCTACCTCCTTCTCTCACCACAGTCACAGACTTTTCCCACTGACCTTCTAAGTTGTCTTTGGTGTTTGTGGATTGAGAAGTCTGGAAACTGCCACAGCTGCCCGCGATTCAGCCCTCTGAGGCCTGCTCCAGGGTCGCTGCAGCCTGCGCCCCCACACCGAGTTTGGCGCTCCTCTCCCTGCCTGGCACGATATACTTTTCTGATCAACCATCCAGGCTGTCTTTGGCTGGAAATTTGTTTCACTCTGTCTTTTTGTGGGTTCTGCTGCTTTAGAATTTGTTTGGAGCCATTTTTTATAGGTATCTGGAAGGGTTTGGGGGGAGAGCTCAAACAAGTCACCGCTTTCCCTCCACCATCTTGGCTCCGCCCTCCAATACTTTCAATAATAGCTTGTACCCTGGCATTATTTGATCGTTGATTGGGCCACTCTATTATGACTCTGTAGCCTCTAAAAAGGGATAATAACTCAAATATGAACTCTGGTAAACCCAGAATATGGGCTTCTGGGCCATAGATTATGTGTTTTTTCATAAGATAATAGATCCAGATGGAAAAAAAAACATCTAGTTGAATCCTCTCATTTTATAGAAGAAGAATTTGAGACCCAGAGAGGTTAGTGGCACAATCTGTATTTGAACTCCGGTTTGGTGGCTACACATTTGGTTTTCTTTCCATTGCATCACATGGCCATCCATTAACAAAAGCTAAGTACTCCCTTCTAAGTTTTAGGGATGCATATTCACTAACAGGAGAAATTAAAATTTTTTATGTAGAATATTGTTTATTAATAAAAATGTTAAGAGTGTGTGTTCAAAACAATATGTTTAAGATAGGGACTGGATATGTGGTTTCATTGCAAGTTAAAATTTTAGTTCCCTGGAGCAGGGAGAGGGTTAAGTGACTTGTACTGAGTCACACAATCAGGATGGATCAAAGGCAAGACTTGAACCCAAATCTTCTGGGCTATGAGGCCACCTCACTGTTCACTATACTACATTGCATCTTAACATGTTTTGGAAAATAATTTAAATGAACATGCCATTTTTGTAAAATGCTTTTCAACCTAGCCCTTTTTTTTTTTTTACTGATGCCTTAATTAATTTTATCACCAGGCTTGCTGCAAATGGAAGTCTGACATCTCCATGAGGTCTGAGAAAATATTTTTCTTCTTCAAAGGAATGGTAAAATTAAAACAAAATATGGCACAGTACATTTCTGAGTCAGTGATGATTTATTGTGGAAATAATTTCATACTTTCAAACATCCAGAAGTTGACTAATCAGTTGACTAATAAATATTCTCTTTGATCATATTTAACTCTTTAACATTTTAGCATTTCAACTTTGATTACTTTCTAAGACTATAAATCAACTAAAATGACAAACTCAGAATTCAAGAGACACATCTAACTTCTTACTCATTCATTTCTGAGATTCTTCAAATTAGAAATATGGAGGGGAGAGAATGATATTTGTTCCCTAGTTAATTTATACCATAAATTAAAAATGGTGGTAAGTCAACACAACACAATTAAATTTTTGAATATTCTAGTAAGTAGATATATGTTTAACTTTTATAATTAAATTATATTATTAGGTTTGTCTTTAGAATTTTAAACTTTCTTACCTAATGTCTTTACTGGGTCAGAATAATCAGAGTCAGTAAATTGTCCCATAATATTTGTTGCTCTGAACTTAAATCTGTAAGAAAGAAGGAAATTAAATGCAAACATTTCATATCACATAGATACTATAATATACACATATATTCTTTTAATAGTAAAAATGAGCACCATCTTTTTTTTTCTTTATTTGCAAGGGAACAAGTTTACAACCTTTAATTTTAAAAGCCACACATTAGTATGACAATTATGTGCAATCAGTACTTGTAATGGGGGATACTAATAATGCAACATGAACCCTAGAATTTAGGGGGAAAACAATTTGTAGAATGTGGCCAAAGTTAGAAACTTCCTGCTAAATCAGAGCACTTAAATACATAAGGTTTCTCCATGCCATCCCAACCCCCTACCCAATACATTTATTCTCCTCTGTAACTATTAAGAACATACCTGAAAAATGCATTATGTGTTATATATTGTTGTCAGTTTTCTGGGCTCTGAATGAACAAAGGGTGCAAGCTAGGGCAAAGTGTGAAAGTAATCCGACATTGAGGAGATGTCTGTTCTAATCTTAACCCTATCACTAGATTTCATAGGTTTAAAAATAGGATGGAACTAAAAATTCTGATCAAGGCACTGACCAACCATGAATTCAGAAGACTGATGATAATCACACTTCCCCTCCTCTTGTCAGAAAGGTGATAGACTAGAGGTGCAGAATGAGACATACTAGAACAAGAATAAGAGATTTATCTGTGGGTCTACAACCTTTTCAGACTAGACCAATGTACAGATTTATTTTTGCTTCAATATGTTTATTGTTGCAAGAGAACTTTTTTTGGGGGGGGAGGGAGTTAAAAGTGGGTAGGATAGGGATTCACAAAAAAAGAAGAAAGGAAGGGAAAGAATGAAAAAAAGGTAAGTAGTGAGGAAGGAAAGAAGGAAGAGAAAGGAAGGAAGGAATAAAAAGGAAAGAAGGAAAAGAAAGAAAAAGAAAGGAAGGAATGAAAAAGAAAGCAAGCAAGCAAAAGGAAGAAAAACGAAAAGGTATCAATGAAACAGTTAAAAACAAAAGAAAGAAGAGAGAAATTCAGAAAGGGACATAGACAAGAGAGACAGTTCTGTTATTATCATGTGAAATTTAATATACACTGCAAAAAACAGTGTACAATAGTTCACAGTTTCATGTACCATCTTTTTTTTCTGATCTTTGTATATTGAAATGTCCATACTTGTTAAGTTGACAAAATGAACAACAAAAGAAATAAGAAGGAATCTTTGGTATCATACAAGCTATCTTATTATATGAGGAAACAGGGGGCCAGTGACTTGCCTCCAATGACTTCCTGCCCACAGGTAAATCTTTTAACTTTGGGAGACCTCAATTTCCTAAACAATAAAATGAAGAGGTTCTACTTAGGGATGTCTGAGCTCCCTATAAAGCTTTGAGACTGTAGTATTCTAGGTTCACTGTGTTCCCAAAGTTTTCTCTCAGTATGGCATATGCAATAAAATCAATGAATCTGGTTTGCATGTTTGCAGCTGTATTTGTGCTATTTACTTGTGTAACAAATCATACGGAGGAGAAAATTATAAATAAAAATGGAAAGAATGACAACACTGAAGGTAAGCATTTCAGAAAAGAAGGATGCTGAGACTCAGGGGAATTTACCTGATAATCACCTAAAATTGGCTTATTTTAAAATACCATAAGCAAAATCAGCAGATTGAAAATGGAAAATTGATTCACACTGGTAAATTTGTAGATAATTATGAAATAGAAAAATCACCATATAAATACTTTTCTCCATCATTTTGAAGTCTTCATAGATTTAGCTTAATGCTGATTTCAACAATCTTTAGAAAACTCTTTTTGCTTTAATAAATAATGATTAACAGATTAGGGGTAAGATGGAATGACAACTTAGGGGACTTTGGCCTTCATCTTGCCACTGGACTTCAAGGACTCTGAAGGAGAGAGTGAGACTCTGCCCCACTCATGTCCAAACCATGCACAAGTCAAGACACCCTTCTGAAGTTATTGGGCCTCTTAGAGAAGGAGGGATGGACAACAACATTAATGTAGGGGGGAACAACTTGAAGCTAAGTCTTTAATTTCCATTGTATTATTACTCTAACCTGCAAATCGAGTTTTAATGACTTTGTCCAGTTCTGTAATAGGAAAGTGGAAAATTGAGACAATGATCTAAAGTATTAAGTATTAAGAATCTTTAAATGGTAAGGGAATTTAGCAATCATTTGGTCAAGCCTCATGGATGCGGAAACTGAGAAGTGGAGGGGGGAAGTTACTTGCCCAAGGTCACTTATAATATGACCATAAATAAATCACTTAACATCTGTGGTGCCCAATTTCTTTATCAGTAGAAGAAAGACACCATACTTAACTATCTCTAGGACTCTTTCTGAGATTTAAGATTCTAGGGCTCTAGGCTTTCTGAGTTACCTGTTTCTTCTTACCACGTCATGTACAATAAAGTCAATATATTTTGTTCCTACAGGTGATTTATTTGTGCATTTCTCCTCTTTTATGATGTGATATCTAAAGAAATAAATTAAAAATAAAAACTGGAGTGCCTGAGACCAAAATACTTTGTTTATTCTTGAATCATTTGGACATCTTCTCCAGTTTTCCCTTTTGCATTCCTAACTTGTCCATGTATAAAATATTCTCAGAGCCCCCTTATCTTGTAGATTAAAATGTGTTAAGTCTATGGAGGAGTCAGGGGAATACAGCGGAGAGGACTATTGTCTTGAAGTCAGAGGACCTGGGTTCAAATTCCCCCTGGTGTTTATCATATGTGTGACCTCAGGCAAGTTGTGCCTAGGCCTCAGTTTCTTTATCTCTAGAAGAAGTTGAACTACAATGGCCCCTGAGGCCCCTTCCATCTCTAAGTCTATGGATCTATTTAGTTCACATTTGGAAATGAAAACCCAAAAGTCAAAAAGGATAATGTGAATATTGAACATTATGTTTTACCTGTCTTCTTTTCCAGTCTACAATTAAACCCTACTCAGACTCCTCTTCATGGCAAGGAGATGAACCTAGGTTCTCAAGGCTGCAAGAGAGAACATTGGCAGGTCCTAACAAACTAAGAAAGGCTTTGAGTTTGGATTCAGTGGCAACATCTAAGGACTGTCATCTAAAGACTAGTCTAAGAAAATTCAGAGAATCTCATCACCAGAAGGCTGGCCCCTGGGGAATAATTATTTTTGGCTTTAGTAACCCACAGACACTGTTTACTAAGGTGTGGGAAGGTTGGGACTTTCACTGGAGGAGAAGTTGCCTATATCAATGAAATCATCTTCTGAATCATTGAAACTGAAGAAATATTTATTGATACTCAGAGAAATTTCTTGAAAATCAACAACAAAAAAGCCAATTTATTAAAGTGCATTAGCTAAACCAGTCAGCAAGCATTTATTAGAAGATTACTATGTGCTAGGCACTGTGCTAATTACTAGGAATTAAAAAAAAAAGCATGCCTGTCTTTAAGGTGCATACATTCTAATGGGAGAGACAGCATGTAAATAAACAGACACACACAAGATATATATGGAGTAGATGGGAGTGAATTTGAGAAGGAATAGCATTAGAAGCTGGGGTGTATGTAGGGGACCAGACAAACGTTCTGGTTTAGCAAACTAGTTTGGGATCAGTCACTCCATTTTGCATCTACTGCTCCGCCTGGTGTTAACTCCATGGAATAATATGCCCTTCCCAGTACTAGCTCATTACTTCTAAATTCACCATTGTGTTGCTAACTCAAGCCTTGACTGACAGGATCACCCTCAGCTTCCTCTCTTCTCTAGAAGAGAAAGCTAAAGGGTGGAGCACCAAACTTGTCCCAATGCTTTTGTAGAGAGCAGAACTTTGACCTTTGGGGCTCATGTTTGGCTCATTCCATTCTGCATCTGCTGCTCTGCCTGGTTTCAACTCCACGGAACAAGATGCACTTGCGCTGGGTACCCTCTATGTCCCCCTGCTCCTGCTTTCCTGCCTCTTTTTTGGGTGTCTCCCTACCACTAGATTGTAAGTTCCTTGAGGGCAAGGACTGTTCTTGTATCCCCAGTACTTAGCACACAGTAGGCATTTAATAAATGTTGATTGAATTAGACTGGATTCATTTTAAGATGACCTTAGCTTAAGCTAATATTTTGTCTATACAATTTCAAACATCAAATTACTCCAAAACATAGATATTAAAGGATATATGATTTGGCTGGTGCAAGCACTTCCTTTGCTAACATTGTAGGCTGTAAGCCCTCTACAATTTAGTAAGTAGGGTTAGTGACTTGAATTGGTCAAAAATATTATTCCCTTGTGATGAACCTAGTGATAAGAGAAACGTTCAAATCAAAAATGAAATATCATTCGTCAAGATATTTGATGGTACATAGTCCGTAGGCTTGTCTAGCTAGCACAGGGGGTATAGTACGTTAGCCCACTTTGTTGTGATATCACAATGGCTTCTCATCTATTCCTGCTGTTGTTCAGTCATTTTCAGTCATATCAGATTCTTTGTGACCCCTTGTGGGGTTTTCTTGGCAAAGATACTGGAGTGGTTTTCCATTTCTTTCTCCAGCTCATTTTACAGATGAGGAAACTGAAGCAAAGAGGGTTAAGTGACTTGCCCAGGGCCACACAGCTACTAAGTGTCTGAACCAAGATTTGAACTCATGAAGATGAGTCTTCTTGACTCCAGGCCTGGCTCTCTATCCACTGTGCTACCTAGCTGCCTCCTCTATTCCTAAGAGGAAGCAAATAGGGCTGCATCGTGTTGCAGTACACTTAGCACATCCTCTAGGCAGCACATCGTCTGAGGGCTATGGCCATACTGTGTAGGGTAATAAGATCTAGATTTGGAATCCAAAACTTAGATGCACATCTTGACTTTGCTACTTATGCTCTTGCGACCTTGGGCAAACCCCTCTGACCTATTTGAACTTAATTATTCTCATCTGTAAGAGAAAGGGGTTGAACCAGATGTTTACTAAGGTCCAGTCCAGCTAGGTTGTGCAATATGAGTATAAGACCTGGAGTCAGGAAGACCTGAGTTCAAATCCTGCCTCAGACAAATACTGTCTATGTCAGTCAACTAACACATATCAACCATTTAGTATATATCAGACACTTTGCTAAGCACTGGGGATACAAAGAAAGACAAAAACAACCCCAGCTCTCAAGGAATTTACAATCCAATGTGGAGAAACAACATGCAAACAACTCTGTACAAACAAGAAATATACAGGATAAACCAGAGATGATCTCAGATGGAAGGCATTAGCAGCATTAAGGAAGGCCAGGAAAGACTTCTTACAGAAGGAAATTTGGCTAAGGTTTGAGGGAAGCCACCGGAGATAGGAAGTAGCTATGAAGAGAGAGAATTACAGGCATGAGGGACAGCCAGTGAATATTCTCAGGGTCAAGAGATGGAGTGTTGTATGTAAGGAGAAATAAGGAGGTGAGTGTCACTGGATCACAGACTAAATGAAGGACAGCATGCAACAATGCACATGACCTAAACTCTGCCTCAATTTCCACATTTGTGCAAAAGACAGAATAATTGACATCCACTTTACAGGGTTGTTGTGAAGATTGCATGCAATAGCATATTTAAAGTGCTTTGCAAACCTTAAAATACAATATAAATGCTAGCTCTTATTAAATCTCCAGATCTTTATGATCTCCAAATGAGTTAAAATGAACCCTTGATTACAACAATTAGAAAAAAAAAGTTCAGTGCAAGGGGACACTAAAAACTCAGCTTCACCTACAGGGAGCCTAGGACACAGAATACAAAACACAATAGAGCACAAATAAGGAGTTGTTTTTTTTTAAAATGAAATATTAATTCCCACGCTTCTCACAGTCATAAAAGTCCATGTATTTTTACAATATTATTATCCTGCTGATTCTCTATGGCTGTGAATCATGGAACACCAAGATCTGTGAAGAATGAAAATCCCAAGTGACTTCAAGGGCAATACAAACCGCATGTTGAGTTCACGGAGGTTGTAGTATATTACCCATGAATGGTTCAGGAGAAATGGCATCAGTGACTAATTATGACACAGAGAGATGAGCTGGTGAGATGGTCACACACTGGAAATGGCAGGCAACAGATGGACAACGTCATTGCTGCCCTGATACCCACAAGAGATCTAAAGAGAGGGCCTCTAGTGTACTGGATGGCTCCTTTAAGGGGAAATTCATGGAAAGGGAGAGGTATTAATTATACAGGACAGAGAGTGGAGATGTTATGATCTGCCCCCGCTGTGATCTCCCTCCTCTTCATTCTGCTTGGAATCCCAAGCTTCCTCCAAAGCTCAGTTCAAATACCAGCTTCTACCCAAGGCCCTTCCTGATTCTCTCCACATTTTGCTAGTGCCACCCTCAAATTACCTTATATTTTAACTTTGCATATATTTTGTCATATATTTTGTGTAGGTATGTTTTCCTCCAATAAGCTTTTTACAGGCAGGGACTGCCCTTTTCTGTCTTTTTGTTATTTCTGTCTTAGCACCTTCAGTGACCAGCAGTTCCTGGCATATAGTAAGTGCTTAATAAATGTGGATTGATTGATTGTATCAGTGGCCACACTCATGAGTCTCACATCCCTCCAAGCATGTCAGGAATTATCTACCTTGAAGGTCAAAGAACACAGATTGTACTTACACATATTGCTTTCTTGGTTTCAGAGGGCCATTGCAAATTTTGTCTTCATTGCCTGGTATCATACATGTATTATCAGCACCTATGACATACACGTCATCATGGCTGCTAAGCTGTAGCTTTCCATCTGCGCAGGGTGGGTTGGGAAAACCTTCATTTGCAAAATATGGCCTTGGTTTCTTGTAATATGCATCATACCACTTTGTAATATTTACATCATGTTGAGCTAATTTCAGAGAATGTAAGGAGAGGCACAGATAATGATTCTGATCAGTATACAAATATATTTCCAAAGAGACAATATGGTGAATCATAAGAACATGGGTTCTATCATGGCTAAAAATGTGAAAAATCCCTTATGATAAAGAGCATATTTAAAATGTCATTTTTGTCTATGGCATCAATGTTCACTTTGTAGCAGCCATACATTTTAGACATAAATATGATGAGTGCTAGCATTTGATATTAGTTTTTAAAACCCGTAAAATCAAGCTATGGCATGACATCTGAATCACTCTTGTGCTCGAGAGGTGTCTGTTCTTATGATAAATATTCTTTACTCAATAATTCAGACTCAATGGCATATGATGCATGTTTGTCAGTTACACTCATGGTTATGGTACCTCCTGCTTCGGAAACCAGCACTTGAACATTTTTGATGGGCCCATGATCGTCATTATAATAACATATTGGCATTCTGATCGTAATGGTTTTTGAAGTAACAAGCACAGTTCCAGTTGTATCGTAGACCGGGATCGGCTTATTTTTAGGTCTTGCTGGCGCTGGAATAACAGAAAAATATCTTTAAATTTGATATTTTTGTTCATGAAAAATAACAAGATAGCTCTATGTCAGAAAAATATGAGCTCAGTGATCATGAGAAAATCACTTGCTCTCTCACTGGAAGGCATTCTCTCCTCAAACACTCCTTAAAGCATTTTGTCTGACCTGTTTGATCACATCACTAATTACTTTACATTAGCTATATGGTACAGTGGATAGAATATAGCAATAGAAATTAAAGTCAGGAAGATGTGAGTTCAAATTCCATCTCAGACACTGATTAGTTGAGTGACCCTGGACTTACCTCTTGACCTCTGTCTGCTTTAGTTTTCTCATCTATAAAATGGGGATAATTACAGCATCTATCTCACAGGGTTTGAGTGAGGATCAAGTGAGATAACATATGTAAAGACCTAAAAATATGTAAAAGTCCTTTTGATTCCAGGACCAAAACTCTATCCACTGCACCATTTAGCTGTCTCTAGCAATCAACATGTTATGGTTGTTCTGACAAATACTGACCAGGTGACCCTGGGAAAGTCACTTAAATTTAATTTCAGTATTTTAATTTAATTTCTTTATTTTATATAAATGTTTATATAAATAAAATTTATTTAATTGTAATTTAATTTCAGTAAATTTAAATTCAGCATTTTAATTTCAGACTATAAGTGGAAGATAAGGTGCCTTTGGTATTTCCTAATAATTTTACCGGAAATTCCCTATACTGGTGAAATCATATCTCCATTCTCTACTAATTACTGCTGTTACATTTATATATTTATTATATTTGTGTTACATAATGATATATACTATTTATTACATTGTGATATTATTACTATTGTTATTCTTATTACCATGGTTACCATTATCATTATTATTGCTATTTTTGTTATTGTCATTACAACTGTAAGGCTTTTGAGATAATATGGAGGAAGGGACAGAGTGCTGAGCTTGGAATCAGGAAGACCTTGATTCAAACGTTCCCTCTTATACTTGCTACCTGTATCCTGTCAGTGGGATATGGTGGGAAAAGCAATGAATTTTTATTCATAAGACACGGAAATGTGAGAAAGAACCCAAGTTTTGCCCCTTGTTCCCCAAATCACTTAACTTATCTGGGCCTCAGTTTTTCCAACTGTAAAAGAAGGTACATAGCCCAGGTGACTTTTAATGTCCCTTAGAGCTCAGATCTATGCTTCCATTGTGAAGCAGTGTGGGGTTGGCCTTAGAGACAATAGGGTTTATTTTTAAGATCTGCCCCTGAAACTGCTTGTGTGACCTTAGGCAAGGAACTTTCCAGTTCCGCTAAGCAACTTAACCCTATACTTCCTAGGATCCTATATCTCTAATGGATCCAAGACAAATAGGGTAAGGAAAAAATATCAACTCTTTTCCGGGAGGGGGCCTGGGCCATTTGGCAGTTATCACAGGGAAAAGAGTCTGAAGGTTGTGAAACTGAGCAGGGCAGAGACATTTGTCTGGACCTTTAAGGTCGCTTTCAGTGCCTAATCAATGAACCTCTTGGTTTCTTTGTCTCTCAGGCAATTCCAAGGATTTATATAGTAACATACAGACAGATTGGAATGTATGTAGGAGGAGCTTCCCTATGTTTAGTAAATCATAAGTCCTTCCCTAAAGGGGTGACACATTTAATTCCTTGAGGAAAGGCAGATTTTAGTTGCTCTTTTGAAAGGCAAGATGGCCCTTCCTGTACTTACCTTTAATATCCATTGTTATTCTCATCTGGGCTTTGGGCCCTGCACCAGCACCATTGACCGCATACACCTGAAAGGAAACATGATGCCTGAATACTTTCAAATATTTGTTATCCCAATGTTTCTGTAATCTTCACTTCATGAACTTTATTCAGCATATTCATCCATTTAATGGTACAGGGCCAGCAGACATAATCTATTGAAAGAAGGACATAAACAGCCCAATAGCCACCAAGACTGGCATTCTGATGAGGAGTTCCTTGGTACTGATCCCCAAGAACAAAGTGAAAGCAGTTTAATCTGTCCTCTGACCAGAAATTGATAATGAATTGTAGTCTTAGGCTGGGAACGTGAAAGATATAAAGCAGATGTTCTTAATGTACAATCCATAGACAACATCAATGGGTCAATGTATAGATTTTTAGGGGGTCAATGAACTTGAATGGGAAAAAATACATCATTATTTTCACTAAATTTTAACAGAAACTAAGCTTTTTTTCAATTATGAATTAAAAAAAAAACCTGCTGAGAAGGGGCCCAAAGTCTTCACCAGACTATCAAAGGGGTCCATGATGCAAAAAAAAAAAAAAAAAAAAAGGATAAGAACCCCTGATATGGAGTTTAATCAAATATTAAGAATGGAGTGATTAATTCAAGCAATGGCACCAAAATCCCTATCCTTACATTCTCTCCATGTGCTTTCTTTATCGCCTTAAACATCTGGTTCGGCCTCTCTGTAGCTAAGTAACTCCATGGTTTTCTTTAAATCCATATTCAAGATCCTCTTTTCTCTTTGCTCTGTGATGAAACTCTATTCCTCTAGGCTCCTAGTTTTCCTGTATTAAATCACTCCCCTGAAAGTTACCCTTTATACCCTTCTTCACCCCTGCCCTAAGAGATCTACAGACATAACCTGCGTAATGTAGCATATACACATAAAACATTTCTGCTTGTATGCAGAGTGTGTGATCAAATGTGAATTCTTTCTATTAACTTTGCATTTAAGGAAGTGCACATGCAACAGACATTTTATCCTGCTTTTTTCTGCTTCAAAAAACAGATCTTTAAGTTTGCATTTTTTAACTTGACAAACAAAATTTAGCATTAGAGAAAAAAACCAGTAGTGATATATTTTAGACTTGCCCTTTGAGCTGTTCACAGAGAATGCAAGTAATATATCGCAATGAGATCATGCATATGAAATCTGATATAATTTGGCATAAAAAGCATTTCAGAGCAGGAAGACCACCACTCTTAAGAAAAATGAACAACTAAAAATGATTAGTATGGGAAATATATTTTTCAATGGAATTGTTCAAACCGGTTGCAAGATTCTAGAAGAAAAAATATACAGTGTGGAAATTATCATATTTTCTGCGTTACAATCCAATATTCAAATGGACTCATAAATGAAAAAGCAAGGGGATTTAAGAATTTTGCAATGCAATCAATTCATCAACAGCACTTAGTGATTGCTCATAGGTTGCAAGAAAGAGTGGAATTAGATGGGAAATAGATATGGCTGTTTGGTTTCATTACACAGCCTATATAGCCAGAGTATTACCCCATAACATAATATTATACGGTGAGAAGAAGCATGCCACCGTAGAGAGAGAACTGGCTTTGGAAGAGCGAGGAACACCCTTCTCTGACATAGTGATGGCATGACCCTGGTCAAGTCACTTAACTGCTCAGTGTGTCAGGTAATACTCTCAAAGTATACATTGTATATTGTAGGTAAGTTTCTCATCTGCATTAGCAGAAGGTGTTTTTCATTCCACAGACTTTTTCACATCAATGAAATTTCAGGGCTGGACAAAGAAATTAATCATAAAATAATTAATAGCAAAAAAAAAACATTATCACAACCACCTATAGCTAAACAAAGATGATTCCAAGTCTATAAATGTCAATAAGTGGGAAGAATCATTCAAATGATTATAGAAAGCATGGTAAAGTGGGAAATAGTGACTGACTTGATCTTAAGGGATACCTAGATTCAAATCCTGCTCCCATACTAAGAGGCTGTGTGACCATTGGCTAGTCACCTAACCTCTCTGACCCTCAGTTTATTCATCTGCAAAATGAGGTTGGTAAAGGCTCCTACCTTCAAAGAAGTAGGTAGTATGTGGGCTGGATGTTTCTGAGTGTGCTGGCAAACCCTAGGATGGGCATTACCACTGTTCTTTCTCCTAAGATAGTGCAGCAGTATATACAGTCCATGAATTTGCCTACTTTAGATGTTTGTTGTTAGTATTTAAAGAAATTATACATATATATGTACTTATACATACACATGAGAAACACTTTGTATATAAAGCACTCTATATATCAGCTATGACTATTATCATTTGCTGTTGCTCAGTCATTTTTCAGTCATGGCTGACTTTTCATGACCCCATTTGAGATTTTCCTGGCAAAGATACTGGAAGGGCTAGCCATTTCCTTTTCCAACTCATTTTATAGAGGAGGAAACTGAGGCAAATAGGGTTAAATGACTTGCCTAGGGCCACACAGCTGGTAAATGTCTGAGGCCAAATCTGAACTCACTGAGATAAGTCTTCCTGACTCCAGGACCAGCACTCTATCCACTGCACTACCTAGCTGTCTTAGGACTATTATTATAAGAACCAGAAATGGATATGTGCAGGATAGTAACTGGGTTATGGGAGATCTGGAAAGCTATTTAGTCTTGAATTGGGCCTTGAAATAAGAAAGGGAATGGGGAAGATTAGGTGGGAGTCATGAAGAACTTGGAGCACTGCATATATGCATAAGGAAAAGTCACTGAATGCTCTTGATTGTTTGGATAATGTAGAGGGAAGAGACAAAAAAAGCAAAGACATAGCTAATTAATAAAAGTCTACAAAGTTGATGATCTTGAATTTTAACTTAATTTAAAATGTTAGTGGAAGCCACAATCAGATACAGGGGAGAGTGACTTGATTCAAACAACAAGTAAAATTTTTATTATTATTATTATTATTATTTGCTATTGTGCTAAGGCTTCATTGGAATGTAACAGCAGGAGATGGGAAATGGGCATGGTGTATACTTATTGTGTTATTAAGCCCTGAGCAAGGACTAGGAATGTAGAAGAAGGTAAAGCAATGACTTGGTGATAGGGAATCCAGCACTTCTCACACACATCACCGATCATTTCCATGCATGGAAATTCTCTGTGAGGCAGAGATGGTCTCAATTATAAAATCCCTATTGAACTCATGAGAAAACACATCTCTGAACTTCCAGAGGCCATCTCTAATTTATGACCCAACTTCACCCTGCTTTGTTTCCATCCTATACTCTTATCTCTTAAGAATTCCCTTCATGTAACAGAGCTCCATGTTGAGGAAGTTCAGCAAGGATTCCAGAAAGAAATATGATATATAGAAAAATCAGAGAGGAAAATAAGTATTGCACTCAGGTTAACATACTGTCACTTGGGCCATATAAATTATACATATTTGTTGTCTTGGCCTTATCCTTTGAATAGTTATAAAGAGTTCATAGGATCATGGATTTAGAATTGGAAGGCACCTTAGAGGTCACCAAGTTCGCCCATTTTACAGATGAAGAGACTAAGGTCCAGAGAGTCAAAGGACTCCTTTGCCCGGTATCACACAGCTAGATAATGTCTGAGGCTGGACTTGAGCTCAAGTCTTCTTGACTCCAGGTTCACTCACTGCTCTCTCTCTCTACTGAATCACACTGCCCCTCAAAGATGTACACATTCCCCTTTCATGATGACATTCTAAGAATAGCAGGGCTCTCATCTGTCTGGTCTAGTTTAGGTACAACACTTTCTGCAGGCAGGGAATGGACTACATGCCTCCTTAGAAGGTGACGCTCTGCTCCATGATTCTATATACAAGTTGCAATTCAAATAATGACAGAGTAGAAAAATACTGGCATGATCTTAAAAAAGAAATGGGAAAGACAATTAAGGTCTGCATAATCTACAAGCTGCTATTTACTGATTAGCTGTTTACTGATAATTATACAAAGTTAAATGTCGTTCAAATCTGAAAAGTTATTTTCATTTTTGATATTATGCTAGGTTGCAATCAAGACTTTTGGCCATAAAAGGCTTCAAAAACCTCCTTTTTATAATTGATTACTCCAAGTCATATTTTTTTTTACCTTCATAAATGTTTGTCCTTGATCAGTTATCTCTTTCAGTTTGTTTCCATGACTCATTTAATATTGTAATCAATCACTTGGCATTCTGCATTTTTAATAATACTGAATTACAGTAGGAAAGTCACTGAGATCTTAGATCTAAAACTAGAAGAGACCTTAGAAGACATCTACTACAACCCTCTTATTTTACAAATAAAGAAATTTAAGCCTAAAGGTTGAATAACTTGTCCTAAGTCACACAGGTAATAGCAGAAGTGGGATTTGAACCCAGAACTTTTGTAGAACCAGTGTTCTCTCTACTAGACCTACATTAAACCTATCTCTCAATTATAGACCATGAACAGTATCACAAAAAGATATTCTATCTAAAAGTATAAATTTAACATAGAGATTTTTGCTTCCTATTTTTTTTTTATTTAGCTTAATGAGTTGCAAATTATCAACTCTTACACTTATATTGTACGTGTGGCCTCCTTTCAATCCTTCTAACATTGCGATGACTGATGTGGCTGTTTTCTGGATGATACTTAGATTGTGTATCTGGAAGGCAGTGGGGTCATCTTCTCTGAACACCAAAGCTTGATAGACTCGGATGTTTCCATTAGGTTCAGATGGAGGAAGGAAAGTTAGCTGGAATTTTGTGACTTCATCGGGAATCTTCTGAAATGTCATGTTGTTTGGTGGGTCTTTCGGTGCTAAAAATAAAAAATAAAAAATAAAAAAATTGCTTTCTGTAGTCTCCATTTTTTCCTAGATGAACTTATATTGCACTTTAAAAATTCAATGTTTTCATTTCATCTTTGTATGTATGCATATAATGCACACATAAATACATGTATGGACATATATACATGCATATATATACACTTTTTTGTTTTACCAATTTCTACCAATGCAGCTCTTTTCAGCACCTTCTCTTTAATACATAGTCTTAGAGATTTGACTAGAGCACTGAGAAATTACATGACTTGCCCAGGGTCTTACATCCAGTATGTTCCAGAGACTGGACTTGAACCCAGATCTCCCTGACTCTGCAGCTGGCCTTCTATCCGCCAAACCTGGCTGCTTCTCATAGATTTGCACCACTTTTACTTCACGTTAAAATTTTATCATAAGAGATGTGCTAGCAGTGTATAGTTATATATTTTTTTTAATTGTGTGGACTGACTCCAAGAAGAAAATCAACCAGAAAACTTAATTCAAGGAACACCAAGCAACTGTCTTACCTGATTCTAATGTGGTAACAATGACTTGAACGCTCGCCTTGCCATCTATATGGGCTGAACTGATGTTTCCAGTAAATGCAGTGATAACTACAGAATACCTTGTAAATACTTTTAAATCCGTAATCTCTATGGTTTTGTTTTCCTCATTTGCCTTGACAAAAGAAATATTATATTCATCGCTATCAACCTATAAGGAAAACAAATAATGAAAAGAAACACCACGTGAAATTAAAATGAGCAAACTGCAATCATACAGATTCTATGTGAATGATATTCTTCTTGTAATCTGTATTTCTGCATTCTGGGTAATAGATCTTTGTTTAGATGGGGGTGACTCTTTCAATATGTGAAAATGAGAAAAATAGCAATATAATCAATGTAATGGCTACTCTCTATTTGATGTATACACAGTACACACAAATATCTACAGAGAGAAATATAGATATATACATGTAAGGTTATTTTATGACGTGATCAGGTAGCAATACAGTAGTTTCCCCAATGGGTCAGATTTGTATGAAATACAGCTGCTAAAGTATTAGGTTAGTTCAAGCATCCTTCTCCTTTGACGGATGTGCCTCTCTAGCCCCGCTGAGAATTAACCTTAACTAAAGTTCTGATGTACTAAACAGACATTCATTTCCGGAGATGACCATCAAGAGACAAAGTAGGGTACTGTGTCTTGCTTGGGAACATGGCATTGAATCACAAGAAGGCTATAAATGCCATTGGCCACCCCCATCCCTCCATGGTTTTGAAAGCAATTTATTTTATGCTTGATTTACTCTTCAAAATCTTGTTCTGTTCTAACTGCCTTTGTTTCTTAGACTAAAATCTAAATCCACACTGCAGGGAAAAATGCAACAAAAATCTTGTGTTAGTAATTTTGTTTCCCAGGAGAGAAGTGATAAGAAAAGATAGAAAAGTGATTTAAAAAAAAGGCCTTTAGAGATTGGATTAAAAAGCAAACAAACAATTGGTCCTTGGCTAATGACAGGGGTTTGCAATTCCCGGTGGTAAGACACTAGTAGCATCCTTTTTTTCTTAGAAGGAGGAAGGGTATATCCATAGGTATTACAATTAATTCTATGAGAGAAGGAACTCCCAGTTGAGGAAACATCTTCTAGCAATTCAGGTTGACATCTTCTCTGGAACTCATAATTGTAGAGAGTTGCCTAGATCATTGAGAAGTTAAGTGGCTTATCTAAAGTCACATACTCAGTGTGTGTCAGAGGCTAGATTTGACTGATTCCAGGGCAGATGCTCTATCCACTGTGCCACCTAGTTGCCCAGAGGGCTTTTAATGATAAGTAACATGAAGTCCCTAATGTTAAGCATGTGCTACCTGGAAAGAGTTTTAACAGTAAGAAGATGAATTTCATCTTGGAGTTTGTTTGCTCATCATAAGGCAATCCTCTTCGATGAAAGCCCATCTTTTCATTCCTCTCCATCCCTCACCACCCTTGTTACAGTCTTCTCTTGACATGTAGGATGCTCTCCCTTGATCCAAAATAATTTAAGCTCATGGTTCAGTCTTTTTCCTCTAGGCTATCTTTTACCATCATCCTTAGGGATATCAATATCTATGTTAAATATTGTTTTCAAAATCCTAGCTTCACATTTCCTCAACCTCCTCAAAATCTGCACTATCCATCCATCTCCATCTAGGAACTCCTTGAGGGCAGGGCCCTAGGAGCACTTGGCACATAGTTCTTGAAAGATGAAATACCAGTCTTGGATCACAATTTCTTATCATTTCAGAATCCCCACACCCTCAATCAACCAGCTTTTAAACTTTACTTTGACCTCAAATGCAACTTCTTTAATTCATCCTTCCTATCAGTAAATCAGTCAATTAGCATTTATTAAGTGCCTACTATGTGCCAAGCACTGTGCTAAGTGCTAGAGATACAAAGGCAGAAAAAAAAAAGTCTTTACTCTCAAGAAACTCAATCTACTTGGGCATACAAACAACTTCATACAAACAAGATATATAGAGGAGGGATTGGAGGTCATCTCAGAGGGAAGGCACTAAGATAAAAAGGACTGGAAAAGGCTTATTTCAGGGGGTGGGTATTTAGCTGACTTGAAGGAAGACAGAAACCAGAAGGCATATAGATATATGCGTGTGTATACGTACACACATATATACATATGGAGAGGGAAGAGAGGGAGGAAGAGAGAGGAAGAGTGGAGATAGGTGGGGGAGTAATGGAGGGAGGGAAAGAGAGAGAGAGAGAGAGAGAGAGAGAGAGAGAGAGAGAGAGAGATACACCCATACACATACATAGAGAGAGATGAGGCTACATAGTAAACAATAGGTTTGAAAATTAAAAAGGATACCAGAGAGGTTTTTAGTGGAAATATATTTCTAAAAATTATTTAAGTAAAATTAATAAAATTTTAAAAAAGAATAATTTGTTGGAATTAACAATTTTAAAAAAGATTGGAGTTCAACAAAGAGTGGAATGCATTCAGCCTTAATTCTAAATCCCAGTCTAGGTTGAATCATCTGAATGTGAACTTGGCATATTTTTCTTTAACCATGTTCATTCATTTTCCCATAATCTGAGTCTTATGATTGGGGTGGGGGGGGTATAACGTTAAGTGAAGGCCTCCTCTTTTCCCATCTAATTCCTGAATGTTGACTCCATCTGGCTTATTGGCAGTGTTTCCCTGGAATGCATTATAACTTTAGGGGCAGGCACTGATTTGTGTACTGCTTAATTCTTTAAGGCATGTTTCATTCTAAAGATTTTAAAGAAAATAGAGCAGTTCTGGGGTCTAGTAGGCATTCAGTCCCCCAGATTGTTTCCAGTAAGAAAAAATTAACAGGCTCTTGAGTGAGAGGAGCTAGGTTCAAATTCTGCTCTGAAGCTTATTATTTAGGTGACCTCAGGCACCCTGATACTCTATAAAATGAAAGGGTTGGATTGAATGACCTCTGAGTTCCCTTCCAACTCTAGATTTATGATCCCATGAGTTTAACAGTTTTCGGATTGAATTAGTGAATTCTTTTTGCTATTTGCCCAGTTTACCTTTCTAATATTGCACTGCCAATTCCCTCATGCATAAGAAAATGGCCTTATTTCAAATGCACGCGATTGTTTTCTTCTTTACACCTTATCGATCCTAGGAGATGCAAAATAGTTTCAAAAGCAATAACATTTCTCTTTCACTTGTCTTTAGTCCAATTCATCATGCCTGGGTAGAGGAGATCCTGAGTTCTTGAAGGTGACTCTCATGAAAGACAAACTATAGTTGGTCCTAACAAATGGGAAAGACTTTGAGGATGAGCATGGTGACAGACCATAGCTGTTATCTGTGGAGCAACCTAGTTAAGCCTGGGGGAGTGTTGGCCATGAGTTGAATAAGCTTTTCAGCCAAAGCAGTTCAATGAATCATTTCACAAGCATCGATTAGGCACCCAACAGAGAGGAATCACAATCTATATTAGCAGAGGGTATAACTCCAGCCAAAGAACTCACAGATCCTCCAAAATCTTAACTGAAGTACCTTTGAAGCTTTTTATGTTTCAGGCACTATCTGTTTCATTGGTTACCAAGACCAGAGAATTCATGACCCAGTGGCCAACCTGCCTTTCCACACTTAGCTAGACAAGCAGACACATTGTGCTTCACAATCTGCTTCTAGGCTTTCTACCACTGTGGAGGTGGAAATACTTTCTTTTGATGGCATTTCCTTCATGAACATTGGTATATCTCCATACCATAATAAGATACCAGACTTTTCATTAATATTAATTAATTTAGCTGAGTTCAAACACATTTTGCAGTAAGAAAAGAACCAGGCACCAAAAGAAAGAAAACATTCTGTTATGGCAAGACATTCATTTTCCATTAGAATGATAACTGGATATCTTATCCATTGAGATAGATGGTATTACCACCATGTTTTTAAGTGAACGGAGTAATGGAATAAAATAAAGTAACATACAAGATCATAGAGAGTAATGAGTTTGGGAACATAAGCTTTATTTTAAGTCATTAGTTGAACATTTACTTATCAAATAGAAACCTAATAATTGACCTTCATACACATTATCATCATCCAGTGAATAAATGAGGAAAGTCTTACCGACTTAATGTCTATAAGGTAGAAGGTTGGTCCAGTGATAGCGGCAGGTTCATTCCAATTGATATTAATACTGTAAGGTGAGGTAGCTACTACATTTACATTTTCAGGCGGACCATCTGGAGCTATGAAAAGGGAAACAGTCTTACTCTCTCATGTTCTGAATGAGCAATTTTGGCAAACAAAATGAAAGACAATAGAAAATAATAATTTTGATTTTATTTTGAAGATATTGAAAAATCAGCTCTAGTTCATCAAAAAGTGTTATGCTATATTCCATAATCTGCTTCTTTAGCAAAAGTCGAACTATATTAGATATAAATATTAAAAACTTTGAAAATATATATTTTCATACAAAAATCATGCCTGTTGCTAAGTTTTTGTTTTTTCAGAATGAATCCTGCCCCTCCCCTCCAAAAAGGTATGAAGATAGGACTTGGAAATATTTCATTCACAAAGTATATGTGGACAACTTTAATTTGAGAAAGGACAGCTGAGAAATACAACACGAAGAACAAAATTATGCTAGTGAACTATGTTTCATATTTACTAAGGATAAAGATAGAGATCAGACTTGTGGTTTAATTGGTGTAAGTCACGACTGGGTGAGGAAACTCCCTCTATCAATGTACATTGGTACCTTCTCTGAAATTTATAGTCTTATACAGTTGACTATAGCATTGAAGGGCAGCTAGGCAGTATAATGGCCCTAGAGTCAGGAAGAACTGAGTTCATATCTGGCTTCAGACACTTACTAGCTGTGTGACCATGGGCAAGTCACTTAACCCTATTTGCCTCAGTTTACTCATCTGTTAAATGAGCTGGAGAGGGAAATGGCAAACCACTCCAGTATCTTGGCCAAGAAAAACCCAAAAAGGGTTACCAAGAATTGGATGTGACTGAAAACTACTGAACAAAAACAACAGATTATTAAATGGTTAAGTGACTTTGCTCCAGGTTGCACATCCAGAAAAGATAAGAGGAGGGACATAGACTGAGGTCTTCCTGTGTGCCACACTTAATCTCTTCATATTTATTGTCTTCTGAATATGAATTGAGCTGAACATATTGTTCCTATTCAGGAGTTGGGAAATGAATTGTTTATCAGTCCTTTGTGTAACCAAAGAGATATCAGAGAATTGCTGAGAAGAGTTGGAACCAGCAATTTCAGTGCCCGAGGCAAGAAGCAAGAAATATTCCTGGAGCAAGTATTGCTGGGTATGTACGAATGGTGCATTAAAATCATATTTGTAACTCATGATGTGAAAATAATATAAAGTTAACTAAAATGAATTTAGTTGAGTAGGATGGATAATTAGTCATTATGGCAGATTCCATGGTACTGCAGGAGCACATGTGTTAAATTTTTATACACTAAATTTGCCCTGGAGGAAAAGCCCTTATTACCACACCCTTTGTTACAGCTCTCCTTATAAGGTCTCAGAAATGCAGGGCCAATGTGGAGGAAATTGGAAGGAGTCTTCCTAATTGAATTTTTATGGTGAAACTTTAAAGTGACCTCTATGTCTTTCCAATTTTTCCCCATCTGTTTGCCTAGTGTTTTCATTTTTGCACCAAACCTATGATTTTATTGGTATAGTGAAGTCCTGATGAGGAAGCTCTCTTTACCAATGAAGACTTGTACCTATTCTGTAAACTATGGCCTCAAAGAGTTGCTTGGGGCAACTGGTCTTTCTAACTCCAGAGCCAGTCCTTTATTCACTGACCCACTGTCATCCTATTCTTACCTATTGTGGCTAGGAATAAAGACCTTTCTTACTTGTAAGGTCTGATGCTGAGTGAAGTGAGCAGAGCCAAGAGAACATTGTACACAATAATAGCCACGTTGTGTGATGACTAATATTGATAAACTTAACCCTTCTCAGTAATACAAGGATCTAAGATATCTCCAAAGGCCTCGTGATGGAAAATGTTATCCATATCCAAAGAAAGAACTATGGAAGTTGAATTGCTACTTTTTTTCTCTTCTGTTGAGTTTTGTTTCCTCTTTCTGGTGGTTCCTCCTGTTGGTTCTAATTTTTCTCACAACATCACTAATGTGAAAATATGTTTAATAGGAATATATATATATGGCCTATATCAGATTGTGCGCCATCTTGAGGAGCGAGGTGGAGAGGAAGGTGGAGAAAAATTTTGAACTCAAAAGCATATGGAAGTGATTGTTGATAAATCAAAATAAATTAATTAAAAAAGACCTTTCTTGCTTCAGGAACCAGGAATTGAAGTAAAGGAGAAACTTTAAGAATGTGTTGTTATTTATGGGAGAATAGAAACCCAGGTTGGAAATAACAGTTGGTGTTATAGAAATGGAGGGTAGGTAAGCAATGTTCTGGAGTCCTTAGAAGAAAAGAAAGTAGATGAAGGAAAGTTGGTGCAATTAGGCAGGCTCATTTAGCCTTACGACTTACCAGAGTTTTTGTCTCTTTCCTTCATTTTCACTATTCTCTCTCATTCCCAACCCACCTCATGACTTGCTAGAGCTCCTAAAACAGCTTTCATGTAGTAGGTGGGTGAAAGACTTACCTTTAAGAACTTGCTGGGATAGCTCCTATATCAGAAGTGAGAAAGGTGAAAGGAGGGAGATGATTTGATCCTACAGTACCTGGTAAAAATGTGTTTTGACCATCTCAGTATATAATAACTAAATGCATTTTCCCGATAGAAACACCATATGCATGTGTGTGTGTGTATGTGTGAGCATACAAACAAACAAATAAATAATATTTACAAATAAACATATACATATGGCAGCTAGATGATGCAGTAGATATGGGACTGAGTTTGGAATCAGGAAAACTCATCTTCACGAGTCCAAATCTAGCTTTAAACACTTACTAGCTGTGCGACCCTGAGCAAGCCATTTAACCCTATTTGCCTTGATTATCTATAAAATGAGCTGGAGAAAGAAATGGCAAACCACTCTAGTATCTTTGCCAAGAAAACCCCAAAATGGGATCACAAAGAGTCAGAAACAACTGAACAACTATATATACACGTGTGTATACATACGTACATATATGTATATATGTATGTGTATGTGTATGTGTATATATGTGGGGGTGTGTATATGCATGTGTGTATACATACATGTATATGTATATGTATATATGTTCTTGTGTAATGGAAAGCACACATGGTTTGGGTTCTGTAAATGCCTCTTATGTCAGTCAATCAATAACTATTTATTAAGTGCCTACTACGTGTCACACATTGTGTTAAGTGCTGAGTGACAGTAGACAAGTCATTGATACTCTCTGGGCTCATTTCCTTCATTTCAAAAGCTGGGATAATAATTGCACTCTCTACTTCAAAGGATTTTTACCAGGAAAATGAAAAAAAAAAAATAGAAGAGATCTACAAAGAACATTTCAACAAAGTATTTTCTCCTTCATGGTAATGGAACCATTTCCCTTGCACCCTAACATTACAGTCCCCAAAGTGCTTACATGGCAGTTAGAAATGGCATGAAAAAGAAGAAAGTTCAGAAAATCAGCCAGATTGGATCAAGTGTTTATTGAGGATGTCTGTGCTGAAGGTGATACAATTGTGAAGGCATTGAGAGGCTGATGTGCAAGGTTTCTGAAGGATAACCCCCTTCAGAAAAAAATGACCAAGTGAACATCAATAACTACCAAATGATTTGATTACTCTCCCATCTATACCAAATCCTGACTAGGATCTTATATTCTCTGCAATAAAATCCCATATAATCCAAGCCTATAATGTCCTTCAAGTACAGTATTGAATTAATACTCAAATTCTCAAATTAGCCTATAATCTCATCAATTCGGGATTTGTCTCCAACAGTGAGACTGATTTAGAAAACATAAGATCTCTTTGCCATTGCAGTGTGTTGATTAAAAAACACATCTAATATATGGAAATGGTTAAACAATTATGGCTTATTAATATAATAGACTAATATTATGCAATAAGAAATGATGTAATAGACAGTTTCAGAGGAAACTGGAAGACCTGTATGAGCGGCTGTAGGATGAAGAAAGCAGAAGTAGGAGAACAATTTATACAATGATGGCAACACTGTCAGGGAAAACAATTTTACAAGACTTTAGAATTTTGATCAATGAAATAATGAGCTTCAATTCCAGAGGACCAAAGAAAAAGCATAATGCCTCCTGTTACACAGGTAATAGACAAGATATAGAATAAGACAGATTTTTGGACATGACTAGTATGGGAATGTTTTGCTTGGCTATGAATATTTGTTAGAGGGTTTTTATTTTTAAATTGTGGAGCAGAAGTAGAAGAGAAAATTAATGCTTGTTAATTTTTAAAAAACAATAAAATAATATTTTAAAATATTTGATTCAGTAAAAGAAAATGTTACCATGAAGGCCCTCCTGTCAATACACTGGGACCATTTGAGACTTCTTAGAAGTAACAACAGAAATCACCCTGTTCAGTAACATCAGGCAAGGCAAAAAACGGGGTACATTTGAATGCAATGGTGTTTACCACAGTGATAGATAGAGGAGATGCAAGGCAGGTACAGGAGAGATTCTCTGTGGATGCAAAGGTACTATAGATGATGCTGTTTTTAGATCACATTGTTTTCATTGTATTAAGCTGTAAGGTACTGCAGACACTCCTGGAAAAAAAATGTGTAATAACTCACGGGAATTTGGCTAATCCATCCACACAAGAAAGACCAAGCAGAAAAATAATGTTTATTGTCCAGATTTCATTATTCATTTTAATGGATGTGCTATTGTGCTTGTACAACAGTATATATGTCTTAGACAGACAATACAGATGGGCAATGAAGTGGGTCCAGAATTTAAAAAAAGAAGAGGAGAGTGGAATCAATTGTTTTGGAGAAATTGCAAAAGTCTTTTACTGATCCCCGGCTTCCTATGAAGGCAAAAGCCCATCTTTAAAAACAAACAAACAAACAAAAAAAACAAAAAAACAAAAAAACAAACAAACAAACAAACAACTAACATTTAACTAAAGGTTCTACATGTGGTAAGATCTGGAATATCACTGTCTCTTAAGAACTGAAGACTAATATGATTCAAAATGCAATGGAAAAAATATGGTGAGTGTGAGACGGTTACAACAGATAAAGAATGAGGAACTCCAA